CTGATGATTTAGTAGAAAAACATGGGTTATTTTTTGTGGAAAAACAGAAGCTTTTGGTTTTTCAAAAGTTTTAAGACCCATGTTGAGAAAGAAACAAACTTTCTGAGAAGTTTATGCACTGATCGAGGGGCGAGTTTACATCCCAAGAATTGCCAATTTTTGTGATGAAAATGGTAACGGAGACAGTTACAGCTGCATATATGCCACAACAGAATGGAGTTGCGGAATGGAAGAATAGAATAATTATGAATATGGTTGAGTATGCTTTCAGCAGAGAGAATTTCGAAGTCCTTCTGGCCTGAGCAGTTAACTGGACTGTACAGGTTTTGAATCGAAGTCCCACTTTTGCAGTGTTAAACAGGACTCCAGAGAAGCTTGGAGTAATATGCAGCTTCAGTTGATTATTTTCAGTGTTTGGATGTATTTCTCAGGTCCATGTACCTGACAATAAAGAACTAAACTTGATGATAAGAGTTTCAGTTGTGTTTTATGGGAGTTAGTAAGAATCAAAGGCTTATAGATTGTATGATCCTGTTTCACAAAAGATCATAATCAGTAGGATGTTGTATTTGAGGAGACAAAGAACGTGGACTGGATAAGAAGTATAGGAAGTCACACATGTGATTAGAATGGGGTATTGTGAAGAAGAGAGAAGAAGAGTAATCGAGAAGAGGAAAGAAGTGAACTTATTCTGATCCTGATATAGAGGCAATTCAGTAACAGTGCAGTCGATGTTAATGTTGAAGTACTGGGATAGGTTTTTTAATTCAGAGCACAGACAGCCCTCAAAACTCAAGTGCAACTAATTGAAGAGCACTTGTTTAGATGAGAAAAATGAAACAGGAGAGGGCTTTCTAATGAAGAAAATGAAGGGGAACTGCCATGTTTACAGCTACTGATCCCTTCATTGAAGAAGCTATAAAGAGTAAAAAATGGAGAACAACCATGGATGTTGAAATGAAGCAATAACAGAAATGGGACTTCGGAATTAACGAACTACCTAGGGAGGAAAGCAATTAGAGTAAAGTGGGTGTATAAACTAAGTTGAATGAAATGGGGAAATAGAAAAGCACAAAGCTCGGCTTGTCCCAAAGGGATATCCACAACAATATGGAGTAGACTATACTAAGTTTTTGCACCTGTGGCACAGATGGAGACAATACGTAGACATTGTAAGTACCACTTCATCTCAAAGATGGTGGTCCATTTATCAACTAGATGTGAAATCTGCCTTTTTACATGGTGAATTGAATGAAGAAGTTTTTGTAGAACAGCCTTGCGGTTATGTACAGAAAGGAAGTGAGCAAAAAGTTTACAAGCTGAGGAAAGCACTTTATGGACTTAAACAAGCACCCCGTGCTTGGTACAGTCGTGTAGAAGCTTGAAGAAGTCTTTGAGAAATGTGATTATGAGCACACTTTGTTCATCAAAGTCAACAAGGAAGGTAAAGTCTTGATTGTAAGCTTGTATGTGGATGATCTAATCTTTACTGGAAATGATGAATCAATGTTTGAAGAGTTTAAACATTCCATGAAGCATGAGTTTGATATGACTGATCTTGGCAAGATGAGGTATTTCCTTGGCCTTGAGGTGTTGCAAAAGTCTGATGGTATTTTTATTAGTCAAAAGAAATATGCTTTGGAAGTACTGCACAAGTTTGGGATGGATAAGAGCAATTCTGTTTTCAATCCTATTGTTCCTGACTATAAACTTGGGAAAGATGACGAAGGAGTTAAAGTTGATAAGACTTACTATAAGCAGATTATAGGGAGTCTCATGTATATCACTACTACACAACCAGACTTAATGTTTGTAGTAAATATGATTAGTAGGTATATGAAGAATCCTACTGAATTACACATGCAGACAGCAAAAAGAGTGATGCGATATCTGAAAGGAACTTTTGATTTTGGGATCTTCTATAGGAAGGGAGGAGATGATGAACTTATTGGCTATACTGACAGTGATTATGCTAGAGATTTAGAAGATCGAAAGAGCACTTCAGGTTATGTTTTCCTATTGAGTTCATGGGCAATTTTTTGGTCATCAAGAAAACAACCTGTAATGAGTTTATCCACCACAGAGGCAGAGTTCATCGCTGCAACCTCATGTGCATGTCAGGCAGTTTGGTTAAAAAGAGTGCTAAGAAAGCTAGATCAAAATCTAGGCAAGACATGTATTATTCAGTGTGATAGCAGCTCTACTAGCAAGCTCTTAAAGAATCCAATGATGCATGGTCGAAGCAAACACATTGATGTGCATTTTCATTTTCTTCGAGATCTTACAAAAGATGGAATTGTGGAATTGATACACTGTGATACACAGGACCAGTTGGCTGACATAATGACAAAACCACTCAAGCGAAACACTTTTGTCAAGCTGCGAGAACATTTGGGAATCTGTTCTGAAACTGATGTAAATTGAAGCTTGCAGATTCAGTTTAAGGGAGGAAATGTTGATTTATGTTTAGTATATTATCTAAGTGGTTAGTTATAACCACGTATGTATTTTCCTTTTATGTTGGGATGTTTGTTGCTTGTTGATTTAGTCTTTCTACCACGTCATAACAGTTATGAAACGTAGGCTATTTTATTGCGTTCAATTTTTATTTCAGTTCTCTGTAAGGCTATTTAACAGCCAAGTTTGTTATTCAATATTTAGATAATTTCCTCCAATATTCTATCTATGCAATTTCTTTTATCTTTATTTTCTTACAAGCTCCAATCATTCATCAACATCTTTCGAGGGTAATGAAGGATATGGCCCTCCTTTGACAAATAATTTCAAAACAAATTCCAGCAAGTCAGAACGTTCAGCACCAGCTTTAAGTAAAGAATTTGTTGGCAGTTCATAGTTATTGGAATTGCATTTGGGATAGGTTCAGTAGTAGTTGTTGCACCCCTGATGTTTTCAGACAAAGTAAACCAATGGTACGACAATAACATCATCGACGAATTTCTAATGGAGATGTAAAACACATTCATATTCCAATATTTATTGATAATACAATCAATTTCAATATAAAATCTCCATGGAATATATGCGGAAGTAAATGACAAACCTCAGGCCATAGCAATTGTTGTTTGTTCTTTTTGCTCCTTTATAAATTACGAGATCTTCCACTGACTGCAATTTTGGAGTGATGGTTTTGAAACTAAAAATGAAAATTGCATCAATGGGGACCTGTAAAGTCTCTTTCTTATATGCAGTTGTCTTTCCATCAAAGACAACTGCTCAAGAGACACAACCGTATGACCACATCAGTCCACATCAACAAGGACCAAAATGTAATTATATGAGAAGTGTAGGACCATATTGTAAAAAGTCTAACAGGAGATTCTCCTAATGTTTGGGTTGATGTACAAGACTTCTCATCAAAGAAGAAATGAAGTAGAGGAAGATTTCGAAGACAAAAACATAGATGAAGACGACGATGATTTCGGTGAAACGCAATCCGAAGAATTTCGCGGGCGATATTGTGTGTTTTGCTCAAAACTCGACATTGCAAGGAAAAGGGTTCACGATCGTAAATGTAGTTGTCATCATCAATCACCGCCCATATTGTCTTCTACTTCCACTTCATCCTCATCTTCTTCATTGGGATATTTGATAAAAGTTGAGATTTCTTTGTTCTTTTCTTCTTTTGTATTTTGTTATGTACATGCAATACAAAAAGTGTTTTGAGGTTTGATTTGGTTCATTGTTTTGAATTGAGACTGGAGATTGGAGATTGGATTTTGATTTATAGTTAGGATTGGTGGTTGATTGTTGTTGATATGGAGTGTTTGATTTTTTTTAAAACAACCCGCAGCCACCACTTGCCGCAATCGACCCCCAGCCTCACCTTTCGCCTACCACAGCCACCATTACAACCTGCCCGCAGCTGTTTCATAAATTGCCCCAACCAGTGCCCACTCAAAGTAGGTTTATTTAAAGGACGTGGGTATTTAGGTAATTGACTAGTTGGCTTGATATAAATTAATAAAAAAAAATGAAGTCAAGCTTTTAAGGGCATTTTAGACTTTTCCGTTACTATACCTTGTTAGGGGACGGAATTCACTAACAAAGCTGAAAGAAAATGGGTGTTTCATTTCCAAACTTTTTTGGATACTAAATTGTCTTTAACGCAAAGTTTGGGTGGGAGGATGTTGTTCAGTCTATAATTATATAATTTATATCTCTTTAGAAAAGCTATTTTAAGGAGTTTAAATTTTATTATTACTAATAAAAATATGTCCTATTAGAAATGTAACAAGTTCTAAGTTATGAGATAAGAATATGATTTATATGAGAAGAGTTATTTAAACATCGAGATTAATGAGTTAAACACCATTGAGTGGTCTGATAGTAAAAGAACGAATGAGGATCTAGCATAATCTTTTAATTCGAGTGTCCTTAATGGTAAAAATGTAAGAGGATAATAAGTACGAATTTCGTCAAAGATAAAAGAACAAGAAGAAGATTTAATATAGTCTTCCGAGTTCGAGTCTCCACGATTGGCCATTGAAGCTTTTACAAATTAGTTAAGGTATGCGTAAAGCGACTTGATTTAAAAAAAAAAAAAAAAAAAAAAAAATGAGTGAAAAATCTCCTTTTCAATGTTCTCATGCAAATTATGCCAAGGCCGAAGATGAACTAATGAAAAATATAATATTTATCTCATTAGTTTACGTAGACAAATTATACCAAATCACATTAATAATACTGTCTTTCTATATGTATAAGTTATATTAATAAAGTTTGAATTTTAATTATGAGAAAATTAATACACGAATTAATTACTTAGAAGAAAACCAAGAAGTTGGAACGTTTTCGTCTTCCTATTTCAAAGAAAATCGCACAAGACCCCACTATAATCTTTTTTGTTGTTTTCTATGTGGTTCCGTCAAAAGAGTGATGAATTCAGTCAAGTGTTTTCCTCTTCTTAATCATTCTCCGTGCAGTACACAAAATAAAACCCGAGTTTCTGTTTCTCTACATCCTTAGGCAGTGGCCTGTTTATTGTGATGGCTATGGCTACTATTACTGAAGACAAAAAGAAACAAGTGGGTATTGTTGAAGAAGAAGAGAAGTGGGTAACGCATTACTCATCAACTCATCAAATACTTTTAGTGGGTGAAGGAGACTTCTCCTTTTCATTGTGTTTAGCCCTTTCTTTTGCTTCTGCTTCTAACATCTGCACTACTTCTCTTGATTCTTATGGTAATTCTCTACTCGATATTGTTTTTCATCTCCATTTTTTAAATATTTTATTAGTGGGCTTCAACTGCCAATTTACAGTTTATCGTCTTGCTAAATGGAATGCCTAATCATCGAATAGTTAGGTTGTCTCGATTTTATTATAATATTGTACTTTTTGCATTTTCTGTGATTTATTTAGAGATGTATCATTATCAGTAGTCACTTGTACGTTCTTGAGCGTTATTTAAAAAAAAAATTAAAAAAAAAGAAATTTCAATGTATTTGTAAAATGTCTAGATACATTAGTAAGTTTTGTTTGTTGTAACTTGGAGATTTGTCGCGGGGCACATGTTAAGAGCAATATTTACTAGTTTTGTTGATCTTGGTAGCAGTTGAGTTTTGCGTCCCGGCATTGTAGCATTCCCACATGGAAAGTTTTGCTTCTTGATGGGGTACTTTTAGGTGCTACGTAGATTTTATGGGTGGCATTTATCCAAGAGTTATGGATTGGCTTTGAGTTTTTGTTTTTTAAAGTGTTCCTTGGGAGTATTTTGATGTTAAAGTTGTAATTCATTTAAATTCAATTCTTGGAGAAGAAATTAAATGAGACAACTTCCCAAAGCTACTTTACTATCCATTTGCTTTCAAAAAAAATTAATACTTTAGGCAATGTGGATATGGATTGGAGGAATTGTCTTGAATGTTTCACTTTTTGATTGCCATTTGGCTTGTTAATAACACTGAAAAACGGAAGTGGATGTAGATTCTTTCTATTTCCTCTTTGGTCTCAGTGCTTCTTGTACTAAAAAATGTAAAAAAATATAGGTTTTAACTTCAAATTTGATTACTTTTACCTTCTCCTAGTAACTTAACAGGACTTTAATGTTTTAGTTAGTACTATGGTTGGTGGGTTTGGGAGGTTTTGTTCACAAATATTTAAATATTTGAATATCATATATACTAATTGCTCAATTTAATCCAATATTTGTTCTTCTCCAATTTCATTTCCATAATTTGTATGAGGTTTCATTGTTCTTTTGTTTTTGTAATGTTTATTACAGCATAACAGAACATGTTGTTTTGCATGGCAAGAAATGTCCTTGGTTTTTTCTTGTTTGTTTCTTGGTTATTTGAGATTTCTGGAGTACTTCTGATTATGTGTTGGATATTAAAAGGAAATCCAATAAGTATATGTTACATCTCTTTAGTTAGTTTTAAGGGTTTGTGGTGAATTGATATGTCAGTTTTCATGTTTCCTGTATTTCTTGTTAATTCCTTGTATTAAATTGTCTACTTGGTGTAACCAGTGGAATTAATACTTCAATTTATTAGATACTGTGATCAAGAAATACAAGAAAGCAAAATCAAATTTGGGAACTCTAGAGAAGCTGGGAGCATCCATTCTACATGGTGTGGATGCAACCAAAATGAAGCTCCATCCTAATTTGAAGATGAGGAAGTTTGATAGAATCATCTTTAATTTTCCTCATGCAGGCTTTTATGGAAAAGAAGATAATAAGCATATGATAGAGTGAGTTGCTTTATTCTATTTGAGGTTTTCTGTTCCTTCCGAACTGCTGATTTAAGCATTCAATATTTTAGCCATTTTAGTGCCACTCTAGTCGCCATAGTTGTTTAACATTAATTTCGGGGTCCACAAAAAATGTATTTATCCATTGTACAAGTTTAAAACTTAGTTCCCAGAAAGTTAATTTCTCCAAGGGAGTTGCTGAATTAGTAATAAAATGTCGAAGGTTCATTTGGATATATGTTGATGTGAAAATCCATTTTGTTATTCTAGGTTTCTTCTGCTGCTTCTTCTTTTTCTTTTTCCAAATTGGACGTCTCTTGAGGAGGATCTTTTCATAGGTCTTTGCTGTCTATGGTTGATTATTTGTTTTGTGGGTGCGTAAAGGAATTGTAGAACGAAGGAGAAGACAGAGGGAATGCAGAGTCCAACGGACATATCAATGTGTCAAAACTGTATATATAAAATTTTATATGAGAGACCTTATTCGTAGAAAAAGTACATATTTTCTATATTTATTTATGCTTGTAGTCAGGGATTTTCTATGATTATTGTTTTGTCCATTACTTTTATTATGCTATCATGTATACTTGCTCACATTATCTGTTTTCTGGTAATCACAGGATGCATAGGAGTCTTGTGCATGGCTTCTTCAAAAATGCAAGTACCATGCTAAGGGCTAATGGTGAAGTTCATGTGAGCCACAAAACAAAACCTCCATTTGACAGCTGGAATCTTGTGGAACTTGCTAGCTCAAACTCCTTGTCATTAAATGAATGTGTTCCTTTTCAAGAAGAAGACTACCCAGGTTACAACCACAAGAGAGGAGATGGGCCAAGGTGTGATGAGGCCTTCCCCTTGGGAGAATGCAGAACCTTCAAATTTAGATTCTCCTCTGATTCTAAGAAGTCCAAATTCATACGCAACAATGGATTTACTAACAGAAGAACTGAACAACTTCTGCGGAGATCTATTCAAATGCAAAAGCAGGGAACTTCATTTGATTTAAAGCGTTATCATACCAAGTTAAACATAGATACAAGTCAATTTCCAGGCTATGCGGGGATTCCTTTAATAAAGAATAATATCCCAAGAGAAAGCCCCAGGATATTCGATAGTTGCTTCAACAATGTCAGGGAAACATTTCCAAGAGTTCATAATAGTGTGGACTATTTTGTTCATGAATCTCCCAGGTTCAACAGTTTCACACAACCTCAAACAAATGTCACCAGAAATATGAATAACCCTCCAGGCTACACAGGGTTTCCATTGAAGAGTTATGTCCAAAGAGAAAGAGCAAGAATCTTTGATGGGTGCTTCAATAATGCGAGGGAGACACTTGGAAGAGCTGGGCATAATGTGGAGTATTCTGTTGATGGATCAGGTGTATCTGGTTTTGAAAGATACATGGCAGGAGCACCAGGAAGAACCTTAAATGGTTATTTGTGTTTAATGGATGCACATCACCGTTTGAGCACTTTGAGATCAGCACGACTGCAAAGGAAGGGACTGCATACAGTAACACAGGGTAAGGTAATGGACTAATGGCCAATGGGGAAGTGTATGATACTATAATGGGGAATTAGGTCGCCTTTTGGCTTTTGCTAAAAATGCAAGTTAAGCAAGGAATTTTGGTACAGATAGAAAGCATAGTTTGGTATGTGTTTTGTATAGTTTTACTGCCCCTGGGAAATCATAATACCCTTAAATAATCAAATTTTTAATTTGGGTGGAGATATCTTTGCACCTATTTACTTTATAACTGGTGGAAACATTGAGAATTTGACGAATGTTATCTGTGGAAAGACAAACCTAAAAATTGCTTCTGCTCTTTTTTCCTTTGAAACAATCTCCTACACTCCACAATTAACCATCTCAAGCTTTTTAAGTACAAAACTGGTCCCTGGCAATGGAGTTTGGAAAGAGATTTTGTAGATTGTGACATCCAGAAACTCTTACTATATGTAGTTTTAGAAAGGAAAGCATTACTTGTAGCCATGGATATACAATTCTTTTAGCTGAGCTTAAGAATGTGTTTCTTCAAAATTTAGCTTTTGGAGGTCAAATATGTCTACTAATGAACCAGAAGCAGTAAGTGATTTAAACTGCCAGAAGTACCTTCGAAACATATTGGAAGTAAAAATAGTCAATTGCTTATCACAGTTCTTGATTTCCATTAACTTTAGTTTTTGAAAACAATGCTCAAGGAGTTAGTGTTCCATATCATCTTCAAGTTATTTCTAATTTTAAATTACAATATCCTCTAAGCTAGGAATGCAAATTGCATGACTCATGCCATTTGAGTAACTAATATTATTACCAATTTTAAATTTGAAGTAATTGAAAAACTTTTATCCTGAGTAAAGAAAAATAATTGGAAATAATAAAACATTTAGTCCCAGTTTGTTACACTATTCTGGATCATTGTTCTGTTATCCTATTTGAATTGAAAAATAGGATATGTGTTTATTTAACTTATTGGATCAATTCAATCTGAAAATTAATCCAACTCAAATGAATTTTTTTGTCTAAAAATGAAAAGAGGGTAAAACTTGTTTTCACATTATCCAACTCTATTCAATTGAAAACATTTTCCCAGCTCTATTCAACCAAAAACATTTTTCTTTATCTTCTTCCTCTACCATTCTCTCTCTCATTTTTCTCTAAATCTCTCATTCCAATCTAAAATTAATCCACCCTAAGACCACCACCGTCGATTGTCGGCCACCGTCTGCCGAATTTGGTCGATCGTGCGCCAATCTGGCTGTTAACAATAGCTAGAATATGGCCATCAATGGTCAAATTCTGGTCATAAATCTAGCCAGAAACGACCTTATCAATACACAATCTTCTAGACCTAATCGATCATACTCCATTCTGAAGACTATCGACTACCGTCCAACGATGATAGCTAACAACCGACTATCCTATTGGGTGGCTGTAGTGCCTTAGTTAATTTTTAAACTTTTATTGTAAAGGTGTTTAGATAAATTAACAAATCTCGAGGGTTAAAAAAATCATCTAAGTATTTTTAGTAATTATACCAAACAACTATTCTATCTTAAAAAAAAAAAAATTTCAAAAAATGAAACAAACAAGTATTTAGCATTTTATCAAACTTTGATATGCTTTTCAAATATTTTACCAAACATATTTTCAGAATCTGATCCAATTTGATTTAATTTAACTCAACTCAACATAAATCATTTTTTCATAATAATATTTTTCAAATAGTCTAACAAACATGTCAAGGGTGTGTTTGTTTCTCTATCTTGAGTAGGATTTTTGAAATCCTACCCAAAATACTTATTTTTGCAACAATTCTACATTAATTACTTAATTGCTAGGTATACTGTCACCACCACCTGTGGTTTTTATTAGACCCCTTTCAAAGACATATAAAAAGGTAACAGTTGTATAATTTGCCATCTTCCAGGCTCAAGCCTCTTCCCTACTTCCACATCTGCTAGCTGGCTGCCTCCATACTTCCCGTAACTGATGTTCTTAACCCTTGTATAAATGCCAGGTAAAGAATGGTAGTATGACGGATAGAACTTACAATTTCAGGTTTGTAGAACACCACCTTTTGAGGAAAATTATACCATCTTCTTCTGGTGTTCTTGTATACTTGTTTATCTACATTAAGACACAACTGATATCACTGCATAATATTAAGATGCTTCCCAAATCTTGTAATCTCTACCCTCCATGACAAATGACCATTTTTGGGGTCCGTTAGGAGGCTCATAATGACCTGGTCCAATCTTCATTGCAACCTTTTCATCAATGATAGCCGCATACACATCCCTTTCCGCCTTAACAATTTCAACCTACATTATATAAATAGAGTGTCAAACGTTTTCATACAACAGCATATATACGTACTGTCTACTTATACTGTGTGACTTGTGGATCTAGAACAGCAGTCTCTCAGCTAATTCAATACTTACTATGCTTCGACAATGGAGCTTCTTCCTTTTTCTTAGAGACAAAAGAGTTTCAATCTCAGATCGATAATCAGAGAAGATATGGTCATAAAACACTGATGGTGTTCCTGGATGAGTTAAGATGTAAGCGTATCCCTGCATTTCCTTTCCACGAGGAAATCTCCAGTGACCCTTACAAAAGAAAGAACATAAAGGGAAACTAAATTAGAATTAGACTCTTTCGATATCATAAAGTTATAGCATAACTTATATAGTGGATCTAACACAAGCTTTGTTCTCTCCTAAGAAATTATATGGACCCCTATAAGATCCCATTTTGGAAAAGACAGTAATATAGAAAACCACACTAAAATAAATTAAAGAAAAAAAAAAATTAAGAAAGGAGAAAGAAAACAATTTTCGAACCCAAAAAGAAGAGAGAGAGAAGAGGAAGAAACCTATTAAGATAACACTTTTCAGCTTAGCTTAAAACTAAATGCAAAAACATCTTCTGCTACTGATGTTTTTGTAATTCTCCACAAAAAGGAAACATATAAATTCAATACTAAACCGATCAAGATTTATAGCAAAGCTTCCAAAGATTCAAATGATATTAATTACAAAGAATCTCCTCAAAGAAAAAGCAATTCTGCAATTTTCAGCTCTGTTTTAAATTGCTGGTAATATTATTTGATTGATTCTTGCATTTGCATGCATTTTACTTCCTCAAGCATAAGAAATTAAAAATGGTAAATAGAATCAGAAGTTCAGAAATAAAAAACTTCATACCTGAGTAGAACCAGTGTCATGATTCTCTATGAAGGTTACAGCCCGAGATGGCCACCATCCAACAACCCCTGGAGGTTTTCCCTTCTGATCTGATAAACGCCAGTATTCACATCTTTCCAGTGCCTGTAATAAATAATATCTGTGAGCATATTATCTTGCAACTTACAGCTGTAGAAACCCCAAAATGATGTCCCAAGAGGAGGGCAGAGTAGAAAGAGCAGAAGAGATGAACAGAAAAACATTATCAAGCCTCTTATATAACACAATGTCATCGCCAGAACAGGTTCACTCCATATACTAGTTGACTTGATATAGCTAACGAGATATATAACCTATATTTCTCAGAATTACCAACAATGTTCTAAATTTGTAGGCGACGTGACAAGGCAACTCATCAGAAGTTCAGACAAGTGAGTACATTGTGAAGAAATTTAGTTTCATATGAACAATTATGAACTAAGGTATGGCTACAAAAATAACAGAACCTTTATACCACTCAACAAAGACCTTGAAGTATCAAAAAATACATGAACTAATGCACTTTCCGGAAGTCCAAACACCAAACACAAGAAGGGCTTACCGAATGAAGAATCCCTTTTGTTGTGACATCAAAGGCACCAGAAAATCCATTAGTGGCATTGATCCAGTCAATAATTCTCTGTCGATGTGCATCTTGATTGTGATCCATTTCACCGTATGTATAACTGAGGGAATCCCAGTACTCGCCCACAGAAAAATGAGGTTCACTGGCATCCAAGTAGTCCTTGACATAACCCCCCCAGAATCCTCTAACAAAGTCAAGCCGCCATCCATCATATCCAATTTCTCTTCTGCAAGTCACAGAAAACAGCTTTACAATTAAACTCATGATGTAATTTTTTTTTTCACACAAAGAATTCAGCATCAATATCATAGGAAGCAAAGCTCCAGGTAAAAGCAAAATGGCAGAATTGATTTCACAAAATGATGGGGTAAATTCTTCATAGAAGAAATCATAAGACATATTCGTCTCATTTACTATTTGCCACTGTATTCAGCCCCGAGTCCAATCTGCTGACATGAACAATCTGAAAAGAAACAAAATACAGGCAACCCAGGTACACATATAGCCACCATACATCTCTAAACAAGCACAGAGGAAACCCACTTTTTCTATTTCTTACTATTACCTCTTTCTATTTTAACTTGCTCACGTCAAACTGTAGAACATATCTTAGTCAGAGAATTTCGTAATATTAAATTAAATATTTTTATTAAAACAAAGAAGATAAAATTTCAACTTTGGGTTCTTTAAATTCTTCTGAAATTTCATGATTATAAGTTTAGTCTCATTTTCTCCTTTCTCCTTGATTTGTGAAATCAAAAACATTAGATAATTTAGATTAGTCACTTAAATTGAATTCAAAACAATAACATTTTTTATTTCTTTCTTCAAAAATTATTTTAAGAGTCGCCCCACCTTAAGTTAAAATCATGGCTCTGTCTAGCTCCTACACATGCAATTTTTTTTCTACTGATAATAAATGAAACTGAAACAATCGAAAATATCCCAAGAGCAAAAGAAATTCATCAAAAGTACTGACCTTAGCCAGCATAACCATTCTTTGATATCTTTCCGAACAAAATCTTGTGAATGATCAATGTTTGGAGCAGCATGAAAATTATCGCCACTACTTTTGTTGCCCCTGCCCTGTATCAAAGAAAAATAAAACATATTTTATCTTTCCCCAAACATACATATCATAAACACATATGACTTTGTAAAGTAACTCATGGATGTCTAACTCAGAAGTAGGAAGGCATTTTTTGAGGTTGTTTGGTTGATCTTTCTTTTTTACACAGTATCAATCCAAGACATTTGTAAAAGTTGTTAGTTTGACTTACTATTTTTTGCAATAATATGATAAACCAGCAATACATAAGGTTTACAACCGTAAGGGGCATAATAGACAGTAGGAAGGTTGTTAAGGGAGTAGGGTCCACAAGGTACAGGTGTCATGGATGAGAATCTGTTTGAGAATATGATTGTGTGAGTAAGGGTAATTGTGGAAAGGAAACTGTATATAAGCAGAGAGGGCCTAACAGCAACATCATCTTTTGCATTGATAAATAGTGGAGGTTCCTGGCTCCTCGAAACGCCGGGTTTTGGTTACAATCCAAGCATCACATATCATTTCTGTTTCATTCAAGTTCTCAGAATATACAAATTGTGCAGAGATTTTATCTGTTCTATTCTTGTGTTTTTCTGATTGTGGATTACAGTGATGTGAATTGTGTGAGACTATTGCCCTTGGTTGTGGGTTTAGTTTGTTTGCAGGTGTACTTATCATTGGTATCAGAGCGAGGTTGGGAATGGTCAAATCCAAGATGGAGAATAGGATGGATAACGTGGAAGGGAGATGAGTACGGTTAAAGAAGACTATGGAACTTTGAAGATTGATATGGGTAGTGTGAAGGAATACTTAACAGAAATAGAGAATTATTGCGCATGAGAGAGGAAAGAGAAGGAAGAAGAGCCAAGAAAGGGGAAGATCCCTTCTCTCGCAGAACCTGAACTCCAGTAGAAACAAGGAGCCAGATCGAGACGAACTGGGAAAGAGGATAAAAAGAGTACCCCAAGCTGGAGTTGCCAATCTTTAATGGCGAAGACCCATTTGGATGGTCCTTCAGAGCGGACCGTTACTTCACCATCAACCGTTATCAGGAAACAGAAATGGTGGAAGCAGCACAGTTTGCATGGAGGGAAGAGCACTGACTGTATCAATGGGTCGAATCCAGAGCACCATCCAGTCGTGGGAAGCATTCAAAACGGCATTGATGATCGTTTTCGGCCTTCATTTAAGGGATCCGCATATGGCTTTAGTAGCCTGGAAGCAAGATGGGACATCACATAATACAGAGAGCAGTTTGAAGCCAATGCCGCGCCATTGAAGGATCTGGGTGAGGATCTGTTAAAAGGGTATTCGCGAATGGGTTAAAGGAAGAAGTGAAACTGAATTGCGTCTGTCTCAGCCAAATTCATTGTTTGGACTAATGGATCAGGCCCACAGAATTGAGGAAAGAAATTGGTTGCTGGAAAAACAAAAGCCCAGGGTGTTTAAAAATCAAAGGGGCCGTGGAGAGGTTTATTCGCGGGTCAGCCCAAACCCGGAAAGCTCACGCCCTAACTGGTGGAACTCCAACGCAAAACCACCAATTCCTTTGCATTTTCGTCAAACACCAGTAAGCCACCTGAACGACGGAGAGAGCGACTGAGTCTGTGGGGTCCGTCAACCGGAGCGACAACTTCCGGCGACTCTCCGTGCCGAACTTCAGTTCAAGCGAGAGCGTGGTCTCTATTACTGTTGCGATGAGAAATTCGCCAAACCACAAGTGTAAAAACCGATCTCTTCAAGTGTTATTACTTTTGGATGATGAAGAAACAACCCACCTGAAATGGAGACAAAACTTACAAGATGCCATCGGTGAAGGTAAATCTCTACTCTTTCCATGAATTCTATTGTGGGTATTGCTCGCAGGGAAAACGTTGAAGTTAAAGGGGGAGATTGGGAGTGAGAGTGTGTGGTATTGGTGGATAGTGGGGCTTCCCCACAATTTCGTGTCCTATGAGGTTGTACAAAAGCTTGGTTGAAGATGGATAAGGGGAGACCCTTTGGGATCATGGTGGGAGATGGATGCACTATTCGGGGAGAAGGGATTTGTAAGGATGTGGGAGCTGAAACTTCAGGGGATTGAGATCACAAGAGTTCTTTCTGTTTGAATTAGGAGGTGCAAATGTTGTGTTGGAATTACATGGTTGAGTAGTTTGGGGGATGTAAATGCCAATTGGAAGAGATTAACAATGGAATTTGTCTGGAATGGCAAGAGGGTAAAACTGAGAGGGGATCCTCAACTGGTAAAGATTGAAGTCTCTCTGAATCTGTGGTCAAGTCTGTGCAGGCTGCGGGAACTGGCTACGTAGTGGAATTTGGAGCCATAGGTATTAAGGAAGAACCCACGCAGGAAGAAACTGACCGGGAATTCTGGAGGTGATGAATAGCTACCCCAACTTGTTTGACCAGGATCCTAAATTACCACCCCATAGGACCCATGACCATCCATAGAACTCCACCCAGGGTCCAAACCACCCAATATCAGACCTTACAAATACCCGTACTTCCAAAAATGAAATTGGAGGCTGGTAGAGGAATGTTGACTGTCGGATTATACAGCCAAGTGTTAGTCCTTACGCCAGCCCTGTCTTACTTGTCAAAAAAAAAGATGGAGTTGGCGATTTTGTGTTGATTATCGGGCATTAAACGACATTACAATACCCAATAAATTTCCGATACCGACCATTGAAGAGTTACTGGACAATTGGCTGGGGCAACGATTTTCACAACTCGATCTCAAGTCAAATACCATCAAATTAGAGTGCGAGAGGTGGATGTCCCCAAAACAGCCTTCCACACACATGAGGGACATTACAGTTCCTTGTGATGCCTTTCGGACTCACTAATGCACCCTCAACTTTTCAGGCCTTAATGAACTCAATTTTCAGACCCGTCCTTCGTAAATTCATCCTGGTCTTCTTTGATGACATCCTCGTGTACAGCCCATCATATCAACCCACATTCAGCATTTACAACTAACTTTTCAGATTTTGCAGGAACACCACTGGTTATCAACAAAAGAAATGCTCGTTTGGCCAATCTAACTGGAATATTTGGGTCATCTGGTTTCAACAAGGGAGTGGAGCAATCCAAAAAGATCGAGGCCATGGTGTCTTGGCCGCGACCTTGATGTAAAGGGTTGAGAGGTTTTCTTGGGCTGACAGGGATTACCGGAGTTCGTAAAAGGTTACGATTCAATTGCACACCCCTCCTCAGCTACTTAAAAAGGACCCTTCACTTGGAATGATTCGCACAATTAGCTTTTGATCGGCTCAAGGAAGCCATGACTACTGTCCCAGTTTTACAGTTCCAGATTTCACTCTTCCCTTTGAAATTCAGACGGACGCATCTGGAAGAGGCCTCGGGGCTGTTTTGGTGCAGCAGGCACGTCCTATAGCTTCCTCAGCAAGGCATTTTCCCCGTATCCAAGCTGAAATCGGTTTATGAGCGTGAGTTGATGGCCATTGTGTTTGCCGTCAAGAAATGAGTCACTACTTACCTGGCCGCAACTTCTAATTAAGACGGATCAGCGCAGCCTCCAGTTTTTAACGGACCAAAGATCGAAAACTCCGGAACAACACAAATGGATTTCCAAGTTGATGGGTTTTACTTTTGAAATTCAGTACTACCCAGGAGCTTCCAACCGAGTAGCAGACGCTCTATCAAGAAGGGAAGATGGGACCGAATTGGCACACTTGTCAGCCTTATCTACGGTACAATTCTCAGAGTTTGAAGACATGGCTTCAGAGACACAAACAGATCCAAAACTCAAGGAAATCATTCAAGACCTTCTCCTTGACTCTTCTAGTCGACCCAACTACCGTCTCCACAGGGGCTGCCTCTTCTATAAAGACAGGCTAGTTATTCCAAAGGCATCCAGATTTGTTTCCGTATTACTGGCCGAGTTCCATCAGAGTCCTAGTGGCGGTCACTCGGGTTTCTTCAGAACGTACAAGAAAGTATCTTCAGTAGTTTATTGGGAGGGTATTCGGGGGGATGTACAACGCTTCATCAAGGCCTGCACTACTTGTCAACTTAATAAACACTCTTCATTAAAACCGGCAGGCCTTCTCCAGCCCCTCCCCATTCCTGAACAGGTTTTTGAGGATCTCTTTATGGATTTTATCGGGGGGCTACCACGCACGAAAGGAGTAGATACAATCTTCGTTGTTGTTGACCGTCTGTCCAAGTACAGCCATTTCTTTTGTCTTGGTCATCCTTACACTGCAAAGGAGGTGGCTGCCGTATTCGTGAAAGGCGTGGTCAGGCTCCACGGGTTCCCTAACTCCATTGTTTCTGACAGAGACAAACTGTTTATTAGTCAATTTTGGCAGGAGTTATTCAAGGCCGCCGGTACTGTTCTGAAATTTAGTTCGGCTTACCACCCGCAGACCGATGGGCAAACGGAGGTGGTCAATAGGTGTCTCGAAGCGTACCTCCGCTGTTTCTGCAGTTCTCAACCACGACAGTGGCCGAATTGGCTGCCTTGGGCAGAATATTGGTACAACACAACCTACCACGGATCCACCCAAATGACTCCCTTCAAGGCTCTCTATGGCCGAGACCCCCCCACCCTTTTAAAATTCACAGACTGCCCTTCAGCAGTGGAAGAGGTCAATGTTCAAATAACTGAGAGGAATTCCATGTTACAGGAGCTTAAAGACAATTTAGTTAGGGCTCAAGCCCGCATGAAACACAACGCTGACCTTCATCGGAGAGATGAGTGCTTCCAACCTGGTGACTCCGTCTTCCTGAAGTTACAACCCTACAGGTTTAAATCACTTACCCGGAAATTGAATGAAAAGCTCAGCCCCCGTTTCTATGGCCCGTATACGGTTTTGGAACGCATTGGACCAGTGGCTTACAAATTGGATCTGCCACCCACTGCCTGTATTCATTCGGTCTTCCATATTTCTCAGCTCAAAAAGTCCCTACATCAATCGGTGCGCATCCAACCCCTACCGGAATCACTTTCTGAAGACCTGGAATTATTGGTCCAACCAGATGAGATTCTCTCTGTGCGTACTCTTGTAGATGGATCCAAGGAGGTCCTCGTCAAATGGCAACATTTACCTGATTTCGAAGCTACCTGGGAACCATATGAAGTGATCCACAAGCAGTTTCCTCAGTTTCACCTTGAGGACAAGGTGACTCTTCAAGGGGGGGGTATTGATAAACCAGCAATACATAAGGTTTACAACCGTAAGGGGCATAATAGACAGTAGGAAGGTTGTTAAGGGAGTAGGGTCCACAAGGTACAGGTGTCATGGATGAGAGTCTGTTTGAGAATATGAATTGTGTGAGTAAGGGTAATTGTGGAAAGGGAAACTGTATATAAGCAGAGAGGGCCTAACAGCAGCATCATCTTTTTGCATTGATAAAATAGTGGAGGTTCCTGGCTCCTCGAAACGCCAGGGTTTTGGGTTACAATCCAAGCATCACATATCATTTCTGTTTCATTCAAGTTCTCAGAATTAATACAAATTGTGCAGAGATTTTATCTGTTCTATTCTTGTGTTTTTCTGATTGTGGATTGACAGTGAGTGGGTGAATTGTGTGAGAACTATAGCCCTTGGTTGTGGGTTTAGTTTGTTTGCAGGTGTACTTATCATAATATCAATCAAGTTTCACGGATCTAAAACCATATAAATGTTGAACATATACATAACAAGACCAAGCCTCTCACCCCTTTGAGCAGCATTTTATGATATACATAACCAGCATGCCATAAGGCACAAAATGACATAACATTACTAAAAAACTCAAAAGTACGTTATAGCATAAATCATGGGTTTCAGTACACAAACTAGTCAATCTCAGAAAATGTTACTACACTACTGCTTGCACCTTTTTCTCTGTTTCCACAATCACATAACCTTTTGTAGAATAACAAAACAAAGTTTTCATTATATCAGGAATAATTATTCCTTTAGAATGTTTGCATACCTAGATATATGATTTTGTCTTTTTTCTTATTTTGATCTGATATATTTGGGTACCAGAGAGGTATAAGAGATACTTTACTTACGTCAACTGCCCACTTTAGTTTTCCAAACTTAAAGATTTGATTTGATGGATATGAGAATTATTATAGGTCCCACTTAAATATTTTTACTTGATATCATGTATTGAAACAGCATGATTCCCATTTTACAGTCATATGTCATCTTATGTTAATTTTATGTCTCAATTGGGTTATTAATGAAAAATATATATGAACTACACACTATTCTGTAGTTGTGACATACAAACATACTATCCCTTTTGACCAAACAATGGAGAATGATAAGTTGGATGCATTCCTTATTCATAAACATTATCAAATGTGAACAAGGTGCCAAAGTACAGTTTTTTTTTTTTTTTTTTTTTTTTAAATATCTGTGCACAGATTTGTATGCATAAAGAAGACTTCCACTTATCAGAACTGAAAAGACATTCCAACCAAATATCATGACCTTCATACATACACTAATTTTCCAACCCAAAGTAAAATTTAAAAATAAAAAAGCCAAGCTCCTAACTTCTGTGTATTGGTTTCTGTATTTTTTTATACCAAATACTGCATTGCATCATCAATTGTAAAACCTAGATGAGTTCTCAAGGATCAAATATATCTTAAGAACAGTATTTAAAAAGAAAATTTCAGTCAGGACAGGAATCTGTGAGTATTAATAGCATCATTTATGCACCATATTGTGAATTACATGACCCTAATTACTCTGATATCCTCTAGATCTACTTAATCTTTGATTCTACAAAAGACAAAGAATTCTAAAATTTTAGGAAACAGCAAAAAATTAAATACCTGAAAATGGGGATCATCTCCAACAACTGCCCGATCATCCCAATTTAGACGACCACCAAAAACATTCCATACACCATTTGCATTTTGAAACTGCGCACAGCGGTGATTCAAGACAGCATCTCCTAGAACTTTGATACCAACTTTATGAAATTTATTCACAACATCCTTCAGCTCATCAACAGTTCCATATCTGGCATATATACCATAACATAAATCAATAATATTTGAAAATCTACAAAATGATGATACTATTCATCATTTTTCATATTCAGAAATATATAAAAGGAAACTATATGCTTAGGACAGCATGCATAACATGAAATAAGATCCAACACCATTTAGATATGACAAGAATCAAATTTTGAGGTTCAAGTATAGGTTTTCAACAAATTTAATTTATCGATGGCTAATAATAGGTTTTCAACCATAATGGCCATACATAAGGCCTGAATTAGTATAACCCAGAGAATCTCTCTCCTTTTTTTTTTTTTTTTTTCCTCCTCAAGGAGTGATGTTGATCATAAATTCTGAAAAACTGAATATTATTACATACCTGGAATTTAAATTATATAAATCCGTGGGCATGTACCCTTCAGGTGACACTGATTCTGTTGGTGGCGGTAACCAAATAACAGTAAATCCAAGTGAAGACAAATGTGCAGCTTTTTCTTTGAGCTCCATGTACCATCTTCCAGATTTATGTGATTCCCAATTAAACCCTTGGCATAATATTTCAAACCCTGTGCCTGTCCCTGGGGATACTTTAGGAGAAGGTACTGATATCTCAGGTTCCACAACAGCTTCCTCCGCGAAAGTTGGAGTAGAACTTCTGAAAATACTATAGGCTTCAGCAGCCAATTTTTCGATTTCCTGAAGAATGCTTTCTTGTACAGCCTTAGTTTTTGACTTTCGACCTCTCTCACAGGATATGTCACTCATCAAGCTTCTTATCTCACTAATGATTCCATCAGTGTAAGAAACTTTTTGGTCTGCTTCTTCAGTCTTTGCAGGTACTGATGCATCACTAGACTCGACTTGTGAGTGTTGATCAGTCGAGGAACTTGAACTTGGGAGTGGAATGTAGAAATCATTTCCCATACATTTCAACCAAGTGTTTTCATTCAGCTTGAGAACAAAAACAAACCCTGTAAATTCCTTTTCTAATGTAAACAATTCGCAGCATCCATTTCCACCTTCCCTTGGCTGAGAAAAAGTCATCCGCACAAACAGAAAAATGAGAGCAAGAAGAACCATTCTTACCCACATTAAGATGAAAAAACTACAGAAACTGGTTACAAGCAAAAAAACACTTTCAGGTAGATCCTAAATGAGCTCATGTTGCAATATTCATTTTACTTCATTTATCATGGAATGCATATAATCTTCATAGTGGTCATGAAAGCTACCAAATACCTCCACTTCATTAATCAAATTATGGAATATAAAAAGAAAGCTCTATGTGACAAGCCTTTTATTAGAGTCAGCGAGCACATATGGGAATGTATTTAGAGTACAAATAATTACTGTTTATCAACTTCTTTCTGGAGTCATGGCTATTTAAGAACATACAAGAAGCAGATATCTGTTGCAGCAGAAAACTTTATGTGGATTACCAAGCACATCTCTAATAAAATAAACCTGTCTGCCCATAGGGAACACCATAACATGCATACACACACATATATATACATAAAAAAGATAAAGATTACCAACTAGTTAGAACATGACTATGCTAAACTACTTTTTTGTAGCAATTAGTCTCCACTTCAAGGTGTACTGTCAATCTTTGGTTCAGAAAGAATAAATTAACACCAAGTGAATGATTACCAGTCCCTGAATAATTATCCAGCAGCTATTTCGAAAACCATATTTGGCAATCTATAACTCTTTGCAGTTTTGATACATTACACAACAGTATGACATTGAAAATTATTTCTAACAATTTCACATGAAGAAAATAAAGGAAAAGGCATCATAACAGCTTAACTCCATTTCTCTGCCACATAATTCTACACTGACCTTTAATAGAGTTCGCAAAGCCTTGTTCTTGAAAACAATTGTTTCTGGTGGATGTGAGGCAGCTGGAATTTCCCATTTTTTAGTGTCATCTCTGCAAACTCCCCAATGAATAACAACATCTCCAGGTAGATCAGTTTCCAAATACAAAAGATTCTTAGCTGTCTCAAGACACTTCCTGACAGATACAATCACTGTGTTATGAGTGACAACCTCTTTGACAATAGCCAGCTCTTCATAGAACCCTTCTAGGCGCATATTTTCTCGTTTCGGCTCCTTGAATTCAGTTTTGCTGTCTTGATCTTTTGATTGTGATGCTTCTGCCTTGTCAAGCTTATTCGATATCTGTCCCAAAGCTCCTATTTACAAAAGGAGGCAACAGAATCCACCAGTTTATCATTTAAACATAAATCAGAGATGATTTAAAAGCTACCAGTAAAATGAAAATCACTCAACCGAAAAATCAGATATTAACGGGTTCTATAAGTTAGCGAGTAGGCTGTTTGGTCAACTATCTCGATCTAAAAGAAAGACATCTAACGGAGATTACACTGATTTTACAGCTGCTAACACTGTTTATTGGTTAGATTAATCTTAGCAGGAAATTCCCACTTGTTCAACACAACTTCATGATGTTATTGAAATACCAGATTCAGTTAAATCATTGTATGCTATTAGGTGGTTTGGTTTTTCCTCATATTGGTACCACATCTTGGTTGAAAACAGAAAGTAATCGACACGGAAAATTAATTAGTAAAATCATCAGAATCATAGCACCAGACATGAAAAGATAATCAACAAAAGCATACACATGTGAATTCTATAACCTGGCCATAAATCAAATACAGTTTTTCTGCCAATCGCATTGTCATCATCTTGAAGGTAATCCACGAAAGGCACTTTAAAATCTCTACCTTTATGTTGATACCAGGTTCCAGTTTCTTCATCCTGCATCATCACCAGGCCCCAAAAATATGATTAACAAAAAACATCTATAAATAATGACAATAAGTTTTATCAAGCACAAAACTAGCAACTGTCGAAAATCCAAAAACCTTCAAAACAAAATTTATAGCCGCAATTTCACTTTTCGGATCAATATCAATAGTCACTTGATGAAATGCGTCTCCTTCAGATAGTTTTTTCAATGGTGTCTCGATTGCATAGTCCTAAAACCAGAAGTCAGATTAAAACAAAACAACAAAAAAAAAAAAATGCTTGCGTCAAAATTTTTCCTCTGAATAAACTCCAAAACATTAAAAGCTAAAACAAAAATAAATACCTTGATGGATATAGAACCAGGAGGTATCATGTCATTTGGAGGTTGATCCCATTCACTACAAAAACAGCCAAATGCAAAACATAATAACAAATCAAAATTCAAAAAAAAAAAAAAAAAAAAAGGATCATTAATAAACAAATAATGCAAAACTCACCAGCCAGTATCACCAATATAAGTAACTCCCCAATGAAGAATCCATTTCCCAGCAAGATCACATCCCACACTTAACTCCCACCTCTTTTTCTCTTTCCCCTTATCCAATCTTATAAAAACCTTTCCCTCCTCCTACCAAACAAACCAAAAAAAATTTAAAAAAAAAAAAAAAATTCCCAAACCAATACACCACACACAAATATTATTTTATTACACACCCTCTGAGTCTGCTTCAACGGAAAAGTTTCCTGGAATACGACGTCGTTGGATTCAAAAGTTTTGACGGTAGAAGTCTCTGTAACGGAGTTACCACTGACTTTAACGGTGGGAAGGTTCTTGAATCTGCAGAAGGTAGTAGCATTGGGGTGTGAGTTAAAGGGGTAATTTAAAGAGTATGGTTTGAGTAAAAGGTTGCTGGTTTTGGGAAGGCAAATGAATTTGCCTCTACAGTAATTATGGAGGAGCGTCTGTGAAAGAACGGTGGACATAGCGTTCATTGGTTTGAAGAAAAAAGCATGAAGTTTGAAGAAGTAAAAATGATCATGAAGAAGAAAGTTAAGGAGATTTTTGGAGATATTTGTAAGCGTTTAGTAGCCATATGTTTTTGTTTTTTGTTTTTTTCGTAAAAATCGATGTACTTTTTTTTAAGATCCAATAAAATATGTGTAAAAATAGTATAAATAAATATGTTAAATAAGCAGAAAGTCATTTGAAGTATTGGTTTCTATAATTAATTTAATTTATCAAACTAAGGAAACTTATTATTTTAGTCTTTTTTTTCTTTTTTTTTATGATTTAAAGGTGTTCAGATCAACAAAAAAAATTTAAATTTTAGACTTTTTAATTAATATATCTAAAAAAATTTATTGAATCATTCGATTATCTAAAAATAATTATTATTTTAAACATTATCTAATAACTAATTAATAAAAAAACAATTGGGCATTTATATATTAAACACATTAATTGCTTTTAGAAGTAAAGCGAAAAGTATAAAGTTAAAAATTGAAGAAATTAATTGAAAAATCGTGCGGCGGCTTTTTTCACTTTTTGATGAGAAACCGAAAAAAAAACAAAAGATAGTGAGGTGGACGGCGGAAAATCGGATCATCAGTCGTCTTTACGTAAATGAAAAGGGTCAATTTTGATTATACCCATAATTCCAGATCGGAATCAAAACAAACTTTGCCCCCACCCCTAATTATTAGAAATAAAAAAATTTAAATTCACCCATATACCACGTGTTAACATTATCGCCGTCAAAATCGAAACGCCAATAATAGTTGAGACGATCAAGAAATTACTCGAAGCCCCCTGCCCATCGACTAACCCAACATCAACTTGGCGGGAAATAGAAGAGAAAATATCAAAACAGCTTTTGTCATACCCAAGTGTGAAAGCGAAAGGATAAAACTCGGTCCAAAACAATTGGAGCGAAATGGGACGAGTCGAAGATGCAACATTTTTAAATGTTTTTCGAGTGCTGGGCCAACCCATGTTTAGCCCAAGCCCAACATTCTTCGAAAACATTAAATACACAGATTGTGAATGTTGATATTGATTTTTGTAGGCAACGTGGAGGGTTCTTTTTCTCAACAAACGAGAGAGGAATATCCATCAAAGCATTTCAAGATTTTAAATCCTCACCTCACCTGCCACTAGCAATTTTCTTCAACTACAACGTTATCTCTTAATTTTACATATATCATTTGTCATGTTGATTTATTTGTGATTTCATACTCGTTATTATACGCCGAAAACTGGCCAATTTGGCTTTGGCCGGTAGTCGCGAAAATGGGGATGGAGGATTTTAGGACGGTGGGGAAGAGAAAAGAGAAATGTATTTTTGTCTTCATAATAAATATCATTGTAGTTAATAAGAATTATCAATAGATTATAATTTTAAATAATACAATGGTAGTTTAAAAACCGACAGATAAAAAAATATCGTTAAACCAGTATTTGAGTGGAAAAAAGTCGTTTACTCTATTTGAAATTAATTAATATGTATTAAACAGATGTAGTTAGTCACTACTTGTAAAGTTTCATCAAATATAATATTGTATTATTTAACACGTGCTCATAACCAGACATTACCTTTACCAAGCCATCTGCAAAATGAAAGCAAAATCAATTATTGATCAAAATACTTTGACCATATAAAAGGGTATTTTTGTCTAAAACGCAATAAGATATACTCATAAAATAAGTTTTTTATTAATTACCCAATTTAAAATATGTTATAAAAGAAAAATGAGTTGGAAACACAGAAGCAGAAGGTGCCAAAATTGAGTTAGCACTTAGTAACATACAGGTGCGTTGCCAGTTTGACTACAAAACGACACGTTTCAGGGACAGAACCGCAACCCGAATATACCCAAATGCCCCCCTGGTCCAGATTCTCACGGTCTCACACAACCACCTCACCACCCCTCTTTTTATTATATATCAACGGCTTATAAAACTCTACCTCTACCCAGCATCTAATCCAACGCTCCATATCACTCCTCTCCATAAACAACCAAACAACAATATACTACTAGGGTTTTCATTTCCTCGTATTCATTCCAAAGTAAGCCACTATTTTTACTTTCCTCTCATTTTCTTTTCCATTTTCTCGGGAAAATCATGGGGAAAGGCCCTGGTCTCTACTCTGATATCGGCAAGAAAGCCCGAGGTAACCGATTTTCAATCAATATCTTTTTATAACATTTAATTGGTTTTTCTTTTATTTCATTTTTTTTTTTTTTCATTTTGTAGATCTTCTCTATAAGGATTATCAGAGCGACCACAAGTTCACTGTCACTACTTACACTTCCACTGGAGTCGTGAGTTTTTTTTTTTTTTTAAAGATAAATTTTGCTATTGTTTTTATCGTTTTTTTCCCGAGGAAAGGGAGGAAGGAAAATAACAGGAATCAAAATAAAATTACGAGTCTGTTTAGTTGGTGTAAAATAATGATATATGTCTGTAACGCATTGCAGGCGATAACATCAAGTGGGATTAAGAAAGGTGAGTTTTTTTTGGCTGACGTCAGCACTCAGCTGAAGAACAAGAACATCACAACTGATGTCAAAGTGGACACTAACTCAAATGTAAGTCTTATCTTGATAGTGGACTATCAATTGGTTTTACCAAAGTAGTTGTTGTCATTAATCTGTCTCTTGCATCTCAGCGGCATTTTATATCTGTCTGCAGTTTTAGCATCTTAAGTAGCTCTTGTATACCAAAATTGAAGCAATTTTAGTGTAAGGTAGTTTAATGTATGAATTTTTGTGCGCTGGAGTTGATTTTATAGGGAAAAAAAAGGGGGTGAATGATCTTTGTTGGTTTTGAATTTATTACATGGTCAATAGACTTAATACAGCTCTGCCTTTGTATGATTATGATGAATTCATGATTTGCTTGTTTTCGGATTTGGATTTGAGGTTATGGAAGCACATGGGATTCTTCTCACTTATCAAATAGTTCTTGAGTTTGGTACAACTAATCCAATATGTTAGACTATGAGGAGGACACTTCTGATTGCTTGTTTCCCTCTTTTTTGAAAGACTTTCTCTCCTGGCATTTTACATGTATCTATATGAATTATGCCTTGATTTCACTATGCAATAATGGATATCCATTCCTTGTCATATGATACTTAGATTTATTATTTTTGGCTGTAGCTTTCCACAACCATCACTGTCGATGAACCTGCACCTGGACTCAAGTCAATCTTTAGCTTTATAGTTCCTGATCAGAGATCTGGCAAGGTAAGAGATATCTTTTAACTGTTTTCTTTGTCAATTATATTTGTTTTCTTGCCTTCGTCTTTGAATATTTTGATTCTATGTACAACTAACTTACAGTGCTTCATTCATGTGACTTTATATGTACATCAATGGGCTCAATGATGTAGTTGTTCATTGTTGGTTGATGATCTGATTCATGGTTATTATGGTGGCACAGGTTGAACTCCAGTACCAGCATGAGTATGCTGGAATAAGCACTGGCATTGGTTTGACTGCCAGTCCCATTGTTAACTTCTCTGGTGTGATTGGAAACAATACTGTCTCTGTTGGAACCGATCTTGCATTTGACACTGCCAGTGGAAACTTTACCAAGTGCAATGCAGGGTTGAGTTATACCAATACCGACCTTATTGCGTCCTTGACATTGTGAGTATCTCTTTCTGCATAAAGCAATTCTTTTCCATATTTTTGACGGTTTATATTGTCATATTAACTCTTTTAACTGTCCAGATGGAGACATTTACTGGAAATCAATTGCTTTAAATTGTTTTAGTTTAACTTATCTGAGCCAAATACTGTTTGTTTTTGTGCCTGAAAACATCTTCCTGTTGTATTGGATCATACAATGAGTCAAGACCTTTTTTTCTTCGCATTAGAGAAGTGTTTAGTGGTTTGATAAAGAACTTATGTTGGAGCATATAGGTTAAAATCTTATTTATTTTAAAATTTAGTGTCGTCTGCTACTTTTCACTGTATGTCATCTTCATTCTCTGTTTATAATGTTGTTTTGATTGACGAGTGCAGGAATGACAAAGGTGATACTCTTAATGCTTCCTACTATCACATTGTAAGCCCACTGACCAATACAGCTGTTGGAGCGGAACTGACCCATGGCTTTTCAAGCAATGAAAACACGCTGACAATTGGTACTCAGCATGCACTTGACCCATTGACCTCAGTGAAGGCCCGTGTGAACAACTATGGCAGAGCAAGCGCCCTCATCCAGCATGAGTGGCGCCCAAAATCTCTTTTTACTATCTCAGGAGAGGTGGACACCAGGGCAATTGAAAAGAGCGCTAAGATTGGACTGGCCTTGGCACTCAAACCATAGACTAGATAAAAATTCTTGGTATGAGGGGAGGAGCAACCTTGCCTTTGAGTTGTGGAAAACAATAATGTTAGGTAGAAGAAAGACGCAAATTTTTTTTGTTCTCATGAACTGATGTCATCATGTGATGTTGTTGGCTTTCACGAATGTTGTGGCTATGGGTTGTAAAATAATACTGGCTGGTGTATCGAACCAACGTTATCAATTTTTATTTGAATCTGCCCATCCCACCCCGAATGGAGGTTGTACTTGCTTTGAGCTATATTTTCCATATGGAAATTTTCGGCTTTTTGTCTCAAGTAGACGTCACAATTTCTTGGGACAGCCATCCCCATCGTGGGGTGGTTAATCCTTTTTGTTAGTAGGCGGCTCTCAGTGTTTCAGCCATGTTAAGCCGTTTTAGTAATTAGGGTCACTGGGTAGTAGGCCTAATTGGAAGGTTGAATTCTGTTTGAGCAACACTTACGAGCTCCTTTATTTTGCTAACAAAGCCCTTCTATGTTACATATTTTTAACTCTGTTTTAAAAACTGGACTGGACCGGCCGGTCGGACTGGTAGGACCGGGAACCGGCAGCTTCTCCGGTCCGGTTTAGGTCTCAGGGGGGTTTTTGAAATATTTTAAAATTATGAGGGTTACTTGGAATTTTATAGGGGTATTTTGGAGATATATCAAAAGTTTAGGGATTAATTGGTATTTTAATGGGCCATTTTTGGAATTTTATAGGGGTATTTTGGAGATATATCAAAAGTTTAGGGATTAATTGGTAATTTTAATGGGCCATTTTTGGAATTTTATAGGGGTATTTTGGAGATATATCAAAAGTTTAGGGATTAATTGGTAATTTTAATGGGCTATTTTTGGAATAAATAAAAATTTTAGGCACTAATTTGAACTTTTTTAGGGGAATTTTGTAATATATTGAAATTTAAGGGGTTGATAGTAATTTTTTAAAAATAAAATATTGCTGACATCATCGGTCTAACCGGTTGACCCGTGACCCGGACAGCAAAACAATTTGCCCTCCGGTCCGGGTTTTAAAACAATGATTTTTAAGTGTGTAAGTTTTAAATTTTATGAAAATGGTGACATAATTACCTTAAGTTTTATTTTTGTTTTTCCTTTTATTTTACAAATTGTTTATTTGGAATTTTGCTAAAATATAAAAAATATATGATTCTTGACAAAGGACATATGAAAACACTAATGCATTTGGTAATGCATTTGGTTAAGGGAATGTTGTATTACTGAAAATGTTATATTAATGAAAAGATAAATTACCTTGAAAATTATTAGGAATGTTTAGAGAAATGTGTTTGGTTAATTGGAATAAATTGATGAGTATATTATTTAAATTACTGCCCTCTTATTAAATATTATTATTTAGATTATTAAATATAACCCCCTACATTTAAAAATTTAGCAAAAACAATCCCGTAATAAAAGTTTAGAAATCAACGAGTGCACCCCCACCAACCCGGTCATTGCCAGCCACCGGCAATCCAACAGCACACGGTTAGTTGAAAATAGCCTTGGTGGGCCAATCTAGCCAGAAAACGATCAGAACTAATTTGGTCGTTTCCGAAACTGGCCTAGATCTAGCCTGGAAATGGCTAGAATATATCTGGCCATTTCCGGCCAGATCTACAGCCATGTCAGTGACCAGTAGTGGTGGCTAGATGGCGGTAGTGGTCTGTAATTTGTTTTAAATATAAAGACATTATTGTCTAAAAACTTAATTAAACAGGGATAAAATTGTAATGACAGATTAATTTAAATTGTTTTTAAAACAAGGGCATTATTGTCATAAAATTTTATTAATGAAAGATAAAATTGTAATAAAAGTAAAATTGTCAAATAATGAAAGATTATCAAAATCTTATATGTAACTAAGTAATATAAAATGATTTTACCGTAATAATTCTATACAACCCCTAACCAAACACACGCTAAATTTTGGGATGTTTATCACTTATAATCATACATCCAAAAAAAAAATAACAGAACACTTCTTTTGAACAAGTATCATATAGTCTACCAAATAGGTAAAAAATAAAAAAATCTCTTTTACAGTAAAAACAGTGTCAAATGTTATAGTCAAACACTGTAGTTTCAATCATTTCCGGGTAGATATGTAATGTAACTGCATTGCTCAATGACAGTCAAAACATAATTTGAACAGAAAAAAAAAAGTGTCAGTTTCTTGAGTTACAGAGGTGTAAATACTAAATAGCAATAACCCATCTCCAGCTATAAACAGTCCATGAATGACCCCAATCGCATTCAATTATATCCACAACTTTTCCAACAAAACACCACACGTAAAATTTGTCTTTTAATATTTTTACAAAACAAAATTAACGACTACTACACACGTTAACCTTATTGTATCCTATACCACTCTTTACTTGCATCGCAATATACCACAAAGTAAAATAAAATTCTACGAAAATTCAACCAAACTTAACTTATTATCATCAATTTTTTACTCAGACAAACATATTGCCTGATTAGAACACTACTGAGTCGTAGCACTGGCCTGAAGGAGACCTTCTCTTATCTGTGATGCAATGTCCTTCACAGCACCGGGTCCATGTGGGATGAAAACAGAGTTTGACTTAGAGGATGCACCGATTTCCTTCATGGTATCAAAATATTGAGTGACTAGAACCATGTCCATGACATCCTTTGACGTTGTGCCTGGTACATTCACAGAAAAGGCTAGCACACTGTCCCTTAGCCCATCAACAATCGCCTGCCGCTGACGAGCAATACCAAGCCCTGCCAAATACTTTGATTCAGCATCTCCCTCAGCACGCTTGATTTGCAGTATTTTCTCTGCTTCAGCTTTCTCGTTTGCAGCCAACCTCATCCTAGCAGCTATTTATCAAAAGTAAAGATGTATGTCAAACATTCTTCTCAATCATCCCAGAAAGCTTGCAAGAATTGATTAAACTTTCCGAACTGTAAAAATCTCTATAAACTAACCGTGAATTGAACCAATACATTCTTGGCTTAAAAAATAAAAAAGGAAAAAAGAGCAACACATATTACAATTCCCAAAGAGATCCAAGTCATACCTGCATTGATTTCATTCATTGCTCTCTTTACATGCTCATCAGGTTCAATGTCCACAATAAGAGTTTGAACTATCTCGTATCCATAATGTGACATGGCCTACATATACATACAGAATTGAAATAAATGTCATTGTTTAAGTTTGAGTGATTTGGTGAATGCTAAACTATATAGACAATAACAAAAAATACCTTCTCTAGTTCTTCTTCCACAGCTTTTGCTATGTCATTTTTCTGTTCAAAGGTTGCATCCAGGTCCAGCTTTGGAACACTTGCCCGAATAACTACAGCAGAAACAAGGGAATTTAGTTCCTCCAACAAACAATGATCCAACAACATATCATACAACTGTCTCTAAGGTATAGCATAAGTTCTCAGAACAAAGTTCAAACAGGCATGGCCAAGAAACGAATCATTTTCAATTACTTCATAATTTCAAGAAACGTTGTTCTTTATTCAAACTTAATTATCTACCAAAAGAATTAAGACCACAAGTAAATGGTTCACCAATCACTAGAAATTAACAATGAGATGAAATCGACAGAAATAGACTAGAATTCCTCCCTACATCCGTTATGAAGCCGCATCTATCCAATCTAAAGAATCCTCTTAAGCTTTAAAGATAACATCAACACAAGTCCAAGCAAAACACAGGATCTATATAGTCCAATAGAGATGAAAATTTCAGTTTCTCAAAACTAATCCACCTTTAAGTCCCAAGATAGCATAACATACCACAAAAAATAAATATTGCATATGTAACTATTTCCAAGTCTATCAAAATATGAAATATTAACACAATTTAATGCAGAACCGAATCATTCTAATTACTTCAAAAGAAAAAGACAAAGTAACATAATGTATAAAAAGGAGGAATAAAGTGCTCAAAAGTATGTACAAATCCAGTGCAGAAAAATAATGTGTTAACCATGTATAGCGCAAGGGAACAAGAGAATACCAACCATACAGAAATAATTCAGGACACAACTAAAGCAAGATAAAATGGATACCCAGTTATCCAAGGCAAACGATGAAACAATAAAAAGAATTGGATCTGAACCATGTCAAACATTCATACCATCAAAGACATAGGCTTGTATCTGTGATCTGGTATTGCTGAGCCTGTAGAAAGCATCTGAAGCTTTATCAGCCAAGGCTCTGTACTGAATGGATGCAACCACATTAACAAACACATTGTCCTGAAAAAATGCCGAATATCTCAACCTGGTTATAATTCCAACTTGAAACATATAAATGATTTCAAATATAAATGATCAGTAGTACTACACACAAACAAGATTTCTTTTAAATGATACAATTTCTATTTAGGGAAAAAAACTTGTCTTGAATGCTATTACCCTCCTTTTTTTTTTCCAAATCATTCAAATTTCATATGAATTACCAATGAAATTGAAACTGAAATCCTATGTCGTAGTACTATGACATGGCTCAAGCAACAATGTACTCCTCCCATATTTCCAAGTAGCTAAGCATAAATCTTGAAATTAACAATGATGAAGATGGAAATTAAAACAAAGGAGTAAATAAAATTTAAACTTCTACCCTGGTGATAATTGATTATTTATATGCATCAAACCTTGGTTTTTGTTTCACATCGAACATCCAGCTGTTGTACACGTAAAGTAAGGTGACCAGCAACCTGGCTCCCCAAACACCAAGGCAGACAGTGACAACCAGGTTCAAGCACATCATCAAACTTCCCAAAAGTTTCTTTGATAGCAACAGTGGACTGGTCCACTTGAATACAACCCAAAGCTTGTCCCATTTCTTAATTCTAACAAAGAAACAAACATGAAAATCAATAATAATCTAGCAAGCATTTCCAGAAAGCAAAAGCAATTAAAACTTAATGAATATAGTCCCTGTAAGACTAGATATAGCCCTCCTGGAAGGCCAGTCATTCCCAACTATATCTTAAATATGCACCTTCAAAACTCAAATCAAACTTCTATATCACAGGTTGAACAAAAAGCATAAAGAATGTGATGACAAAGAGAAATGAATAGCTTACCATGTAAAAGTAAAACCAACATAATATATTGCTAGTCAATTACCCATACAAACAGGCTTGTCCAAGTAGAACCTATCTCAGAATTACTATCGATTTACAAAACAACTACCTACCAAACAGCCTAGCCATATAGTGTTTGATGATATATATCTATATTCAGATTATTTTTTATAGCTATAACAACATACCAAGATATTTTAAGAGCACGCCAAACTATGAACTCAGCAACCAGCGAAAGAAACCCCAATAAAAAATATAATATCGACAACTCATTAAAAAAGCTGAGTCCTTCATAGTTCTTTGTAACAGTAAGCATGTACCATGACAATTTCTAGATTCCCTCAACAAGGTGCCAACTGGCAAGGTTTACAAAAAATAAATAAAGTTGACAAAACCAGAATGAATAACAAAATGGAAAAGAAAATTGTTTATTTGATTAAACGTCTTGATTTTGACAAGAGCAAAGTTACGGAATAGCAGGCAAATACAACTGAACCAACTTATTGTACACAAATAATTTATCTATATATATATATAACTTGACTTAAAAAATAAATAAAAAAAACACTCAAAACAACTTTTCAACACTAAACTGTCAGCCATCTTCATGTTGTAAAGAGTAACAGATTTTTTAATCTACAATAAGGCAATAATTGATTTGTATACAGCTCATAGCGACTAATTCAAAATTCATGATAATAAAACATTACAAAATCAACAAAATCATAGAGTGAATCAGAACGACATATATAGAAAAACAAAAAAAAGTTCATTACGCACTCTCTGTATGAACTATTCTTATCCAAGATTCAAACAAGAAAACATATAATTCGTACACGAATCAATCAATAATCACGTAAATTACATTAACGACAAAAAATACATAAACAATTTTCTGCAATTTAAAGAAAACTAAAACTAATACGGCGAGTCTTGTACAAGAAACTACCGGAAACGATCTGAAATCATACTCGATAAATTCTCGCAACAATGCAAAGATTCAAAATCAGAAAAATAAACTACATCCTACTTCGAACTCGTTCATGTAAACCCTAACTGACATTTAGGCTTCTTATTATACCAATTGTTCACATAAAAATATTCTGCCTTACCAAAAACGCTGAAGTGAAAGAAGCCTGCTGGTTCTGAAAGTGCGGATGAGAAGAGAATCATATAAAAAGAATGGTATGCGCGTGTATTTATATAGGCGAGCGCGTGCGTGTGTATCTTCTATGGAAGGAGCAGAGAAATTACGAGGAATAGAAGACCAATTTATCTTTTCTTTATTAATAATAATGTAACTTTATTGTCTTTTTCAGTTTTTTATAATTCTATCTCTCCCCTCTCTAAACTAAACGGTACGTTCATTTTACGGTTTTATTTATTATTATCTTTATTGTTTAATATATTCTTAAAATAGAATTGATGAATGTTGGTTTGTTTTGGTTGATTTTTCAACTTGATAAGGTTGTTTGATATTTATTTCTCTTTTTTTGTAAATAATAATTTTATTTGTTTTATTGATATTGAAATCCCTAAAAAACTTGGATCTTCTCTCACCACGTTACTTCTTTTTTAAGCCTCATAAAATCATTCATTAATTAAATTAATTAGATTGATGCGTGAGAATTGTGATCTGTCTAACGATGACAGTTAGAGCAAGGATAGAGGTGGGTATTATCATTCACACCCATAAATAAAGATGATGTTGCGCACTAACCCGATCCCCAAATAGGATAATTTTGAAACGAGGTGGAAATTATCAAGAAGGGAGATCTCTAGAAATGACAACTTTACCCTATATGTTTCTTATTAGAATCTCAACATATAATTCATTGTTTACCTAATTTTGACGAGTGTATCACTTTGATTATCTATATTGAGAACCTAGTCGAAGGCATTGATACATTTTTCTTGAGTATAAAGGTTATGATGATTTATCAATAACCACCATCCTCTATTCTCTGTTAATTGCGAAGATATGTACGGTTTTAAAAACTAATATATATTGATATTATGATGTTATTTGATTGGATAGTTCATGAAAAAAAAGATAAATAGACATTATAAGTTAAACAGGTGACATTATTTATTTAAGTTTTTTTATTGAAATTCCTTACATAAGATCTTTTACTGGCGGAACCAGAAATTTTTTTCTGAGGGGGCCAGATAATGTTTAATGAATGACAGGGTCAGAAAGTAATTGGGAAGTTGCACTTAGAGGCGTTAAAGTGTTATGTTCAAAATTTTGGGTAGCTAGAAAATTTGTAAGGTGTAAAATGATACTTTTTCATGAAAAATTAAAAAAAAAAAAAATCTGGAGCCTGTTTTATTATAGTAAAAAAAAAAAAAAAAAATTCCTGTTGAGGTCAAACCTCTATTAGAAACGTCGTATTATTGATCCCACAACTAGACAACAATTTTTAATAATAATGCCAAAATCAAAATAAGAGTGATATTTAAATTAGAGTAAACCACATATTCCCACCCAAGGTTTGATGAAACCCTAGTTAGTACCCAAAGTTACACTTATTCTAGATTTTCATCCTTAAAATAATACTGTTAGCAATTTTTAGGGTATAGAGAGTGCAATTATCATAATGCCCTTAACCCTACATTAATAAATTATGTTTTAACCCTTAAATTAGTAGAATTATAACTTACCATTTTATTTTAAAATTATCTCAATAACACCCTCGGTCACTACACACCCTCTCGATTTTTGCCCGATTTGGGCTGTTTCTAACGACGACGAACCCCCTCATCACCTCCATCACCTTCCCCATAGTTTTTCGTCCAAAACCCCTCTAGTTCTCGACTCATTGGCCCCTCCAATCGCTAGCGCTGTTAGGCTTAGGGTTTCTCTATTCTTTGCCGAATTTCGGTTGATTCCGGCGGTGAAAATCCAATTAGACATCACCACTGCAACTAACGTCTCTAACTCTATAAAACCTCTATATCTCCAACAACCGTTTAGTCACTGTTCGCAGGTCGAGAGTTCGTGTTCATCGGCCCTTTTTTGGTGAAGTGGTAGACGACAAATGGTGAGTTGTCGTGGCTAGGAAGGTTAGAGGAGAGGATGCAAGGAGTCAAATGGTGGTGGTGGTGCCAGAAACTGGCAAAAACCAGTCGCATATCGCGGCTATTGTGGCCGACGATCGGCGAGTGATGAGGGGTTATGAAGGGTAAGGTTTTATAGAGAAGATGATGGGGGTTCAAATGGTGGTGACAAGGGTGATTTTGAGTGGAAGAATTGCTGAAAAAAGGCGAAAAAAGTCAGAGATGCCGTCTACTAACATGCGTCGGAGGACTGTTAGAGATGGCAATCTACTAATGTGTGTCGTCCATGCAAAATGATCAATTTACTCTTTTACTTTTACATCAAATACTTTTCCATTACTTTAAAGATGGAAATCTAGAATAAATATAGTCAAGGGTAACCACTAGAAATCGTCAAATCTTGGGTGGGAATATGTGGTTTACTCTTTGAATTATAACAGTTAGTGGGCCTGGGGTCCTAACCCCTGATATAGACTTTCCTTTACCATTTTCCATGGCTGATTGGACGGAGCAAATTATTAAAAACCACACGTTGTTGGACAAACTCCATTTCCATGGCACTCGCGCAATTTCTTCATTCCTACGCCGTTGAAAATCATTTCATTGCTTCATTTGAAACTTTCATTTTCTTTCATTTTTGGTCTCATTTATATACTTTTCAAACTTCAGCATCATTGTCTCACTTTCCTACTAAAATTTTGATTTTTCAATTTAAAACTCCATCCATCCTTACATACATGATACATCCCACTTAATTTTTGGCATTTACCCATTAAAATCTAGCATGATAGTGATCATTTGCTGTATAATCAACCAATTACATTATTATTATTATTTGGGAATATGAGAAGAAAATGTGTGACATTAATTCACATATCATCTGGACATAGAATGAGAATATGTGAATTATTCTCTCATTTCTAATTATGTTAATATATGATTTTCTTTATTTTATTATTAAGATTGTATCATTATTTCTAATATTTTATATTCTTACGTAGCTATCACACTTTTGTATAAATAGGTTCTGTATTCACAACTTAATATAATTAAATTAAATCTCTCAAATATCTCTAAAGCATACTTTAACCATTTCAATTATCTCTCTTTCCCTTTAAAAAAATCTCTAGGATATACTCCAGCTCTCTTCAATTATCTCTTTTACCCTCTCAATTCTACACCAATCAAATGGTTATCTTAAAAATAAACAATAAAAAAATTCATCAATTATTTTTTCAATGTCATTCACATTTCACACTACTATAAGCAAAACCAACTACTGTGTATATACATTGACATTGTATTTCTTTTTTGTCCCATTAATAATGATAACCCTTTTTGAAAATACATGTATTTGAATAATAAAACTTGTATCATTTAATATTTCATATGATGATAAATTATTCATGTTTTAAAAAATAATTTACTATTTTTTATTATATTATTATATACTAATGTTTTTAGTAGTTAAAAATAATTTATTCGACATTTAATCATTATTTGTATTGGTAATATATTTTAATAAGACAAAGCAGAGGCATGAAACAGAAAACAATTTTGTCTAACAACAGTAAAAAGTAGGGATGGGGTTGTTACTTTTCAAACTAATTGGCACAAATTAATTTAGTAAAAAGTAAGGAATGAAAATGAAATCCCAATGATACCGTGTTTGTGTTTCACGTATTGTTATGGTCCCCCTGGTGTTTGTTGGTATAATGAGTGAAGCCGCGTCGATATGCTGTGGTCCTTGATAAAAACATGTGCTACATTAATTGTCTCCTACTCAAATCTCATCTTAATTTATTTATTTTAATATATAAAAAAAATTCAATACATTAAAATACTAAATCCAGATATCAAAACCATAAATGTGGAGTAATAATTTTGTTAAATGGCCCAAAATGGTTAAAAATGATTAGTTTTGTTAAAATACCTAAACACCCATTAGAGGATGTTAACTGTGTGCGTTGGAAAAGTCTAATTGAGAAAAGTAAATGACTTATTATATCTGTTATCGTAAAGAAGTAGTTTTTGATGTTTCTGTGGGCCGAATGATATTACGCGTATAATAAATAATGTTTGGGATGAGGTGTATGAGGTATGATATTATCCAGATTTGACCTGTCTTGGATGACCGCTGGTATATGTGTTCAAATTGTTATCCAAAACCCAATCTCTATCGATCCAATCAACAGGTGACCATGAGGCTATGATTTCTTCATAAAGTTTTTGTTGTCTTTCGATAAGAACAAATAGTTCGCCCAATTTGAAAGTAATGGCATTTTTTTTTTTCCACTCAATTTCTAAGAAATTGCAATTATATACTTTTCTTTTTTGTTTTTTACTCTTATTTTCTATCAAAGTGTTGCCTTTTTTTTTTTTTTTTTAATGGCTAGTTTGTTCAATCCAATTTATACGTACCTCAACTAATCTCCTAAGATCCTAAAACTACCAGTCAGATAAAAACTTCAATAGTTACCTTTATTAACAATCGAGTCATTAATCCTCTGAGACCCTAAAACTATCGACGGGTAAAAACTCTAGTAGCTACTTCTATTAACAATTGAGAAGGGATTCGAACTCAAGACTTCTCGAGCAATACACTCAAAAGTTTCTATTGAACCACTCGACTACCCAGAGATATTTGTTGCCTTGTTTTCGTTGTAAGAGAGTGTTTGATTTATTTATATTTTCACATATCAATTTTATTAAAAATCTTATATAATCTCTCTCTCTCTCTCTCTCTCTCTCTCTCTCTCTCTCTCTCTATATATATATATATATATATATATATAGAGAGAGAGAGAGAGAGAGAGAGAGAGAGAGAGAGATATTTGAATAGCCATGCTGGTTGTTCGCCATGAATACCTATGCAGGTTGTTCGCCATGTGACACATTTTGAAAGCTCTAGAATTGCTCCATTTTGACACATTGGATTGACAAGCCAGTCAAAATGCTCTATCTTGACACGTTGTATTGGTATTTATATAGGTGCATTTGCATTGGCATTTTAAAGGTCTAACTATAATGACACCTTATATTTGCGATTGTCATATAGTTGAATTTTATTGGTGATAATTTAGACAATATTAATTATTGCATTGGTATTCCAAAGTGTAAATAAATAGACATAAAGATTGGATTACATAGGTGCATTACATTATTGTATTAATAATGAATAATAATATTAT